ACTTGCCTAGGCAAGTACAACAGCAGTTGGGGTTATTCTCTCGCAGGAATCCAACAATTCTAAAAGCAGCAAACCCTTGCCTGGTGTTTATACTGTTTCATGGAGACAAGCAGAAGTATCCGGTAAACGAGAAAGCGCTCCACCGAATCACTTGAGGAATTAAATCGTGTCAGTATTACTGATGTGGCACACCTTACCGTTCAAACTGACTTGCAATCCCTGGCACACTGAATGAATAGTTTTCAGGGCTTCGGCAATGTAAGAACTCTTTGATGTGTCTGCTGGCTCCCCTAGTACGGCTGCAAGCTCTGTCCAAAAAGGGCCTTGGTGACCATGTTGGTGTTCCACAGGATGAACTTGAGCCAGGCAGTGTGTTCTGCAACTGTTGATGTGTACGACCAAATCGTATTTTCCAAATATTCACCCGGCTGCAGTTGTGGCCACTGAAGTCAACGAAGGACTCAATACAGGATCCACAGGGATATATTGTGGCGCCAGACGGGGTGCAGGCTTTGCCTGCCAGACCTTCATGCTGCACTTCGTAAGTAATGAGTGGGCGATAGTGCTTTAGCTGGTCCTAGAGGGGTCAACGAGCAAAGGTGTTGAGAGTGGCACATCTGTTTGCTGGAGGAATATGTCATCACGTGCCCAGAAAGAGTGCACTAAAAGCCGTAGAGGCGACTCGCAGATGGAATGTACCGAGGGCTTCGGATCAACGAGAGGCTCAGGACTGGCAAATAATGGACTTTTCGTAGTGGGGCTACCACCAATGTAGGGGCTACGATGGCAACGACGTCGTAGTACATGTAATCACACAGTTATTCATTTACTATGCCTGGAAACGTCATAATGCTTGGGCAACCGTCAACAGTGGTAGGGGCCTGAAATTCGTTTGTGCCCTCTAGCGCGAACTCATGGACCGGCTTAATGTCGGCCACACCTTCACCACCGCGACCTATGCGAAGGCAGACTGTAAGGCACATCTCGTTAACAGGACGCTTGTCCAGTATATGCGACTATATGCTCAACAGAATTCTTCAGTGGCTTGATTTCCCGCTTTTGCGGAATTCGTTTATAATACAACATTGGTTTCTTCTGCTCGTTGCTCTCCGTCACCCCTAGTCTACGCCGATGCACCATTGACAGGCCTGACGTCGGGATGCCAGAAAGCAGCCACGTACTTTAGCTGCCTCAGCTTTCCCCACGCAGCTCTCGGCCGCACTGGAATACATGAGAAAACCAGAAAACCAACAAACAGGAAACTGCAACGAACGACGTCTAGCACTTTCTTGTAACCCAAACCACTTGTTTGGGTGAACTCGCACGCCTTTCGAAGACCTAGGCAACAAAATCTCAGCACTGTCTTTGTGAGCGCCCGCAATTAAAGGAGACTGAAATTCTAAACACTCATGTAACAGTTTGCAGAAGTCAATGAAATCGAGGTTCTTATTCTACAGGCAATCCCTGAGTCGTTGGCAACTTCCTGAAGCATGGGGGTGCACGGCCAATCTAAAGCTAAGGCCTTGACTAACTAACCTTCAACCGCTGTCTTGTCACTAATCATCGGGTTCAACCACTCCGTATTCTGCTGGGTGCCGACTATATTTTGGCTGTGGTCTAGTTCCCCTCTTCTGTTCAAAACAAACGTAGTCGCAACTGTACATCAAACAGCCGTTTCTGGAGATACTGGCGCGTCAGCCTGCGTTCCCGAGTCTCATGGGTTACTCAAACAGGGCAGTTGCTTTCTATATACCCAGTGTAATTGAAGACTAATATAGCGACAAATTATTTCTTAATCCACTAATAATCAAATGTTTTCCGCACGCTCATTTTGGTGTTTTACCAAATACCAAAGAGGCAATGTTGTATAAGACAGTTTCCTAACACGAACTTCATGTGTATCCAGTGGCAGGAATCTGCGAATGGAACTGATGTGTATTGTTTTGACATATCCCTTCTATCGAGGACGTGGACACATCTGTGACCCCACCTAGGCTCATCAGCGTTATTTATCTTGTAGTTGGGTTCTGCTGAGGATCGAAGTTGAGCAGTGTCTACTGATTCGTTTACATCAACTAAGGACCATGGGGTCCATTCTCACGGGGCCCCACAGATCCCTAACCCGCCAATCCTTCCTTAGTTGCTATACATAGAAAAGATATTCACACCCTGGGTGCGGCCATCCCTTGTTGGGTACCTAGGTGAACGAGAAAGTCTGTTGATAGGCGGAAGAAAGGGAAGCAGATGACTGTGTGGGGGGTTACTTTGCAGCAAGCATTGCAACAATGAAGAGGGCCATATCTGAGGACAGGAAGCCTTCTGTCCTGGCCAGCCATTGTCCAGTCTTCCAAGGAATCATGAAGACTGGAAAATAAATCAGCCTCTTGTTGGATACTGTCATGTAAAGGATCTTTCCGGCATTACAGCCACAGATCGTCTGTGTTAAGACGATTCTTTTCTCACAGGAAGCCTTAGAATATGCAGACCAGAGCATGACATGCGCGGTAACAACAGAATCAGAAACTCCTATTACGTTTTAAGAAGAGTAAATATTTGTTTTTTCCTCTGCTGCTTGACGATTGGGGCGTTCCCGATAGATCCCAGATGCATCTGGTCTCCAGCCCCACGGGGCCGCGCATGCTAGGAGTGGGCAGCCCCATGGCTCACCATAGCGCACTGAGCACCTTAAGGAGGGATACGGACCTTCAAACGCTGCGGAAGCTTAACATGACAAACAAATAATGAATACGGCTGCAGCCTTGCATAACCACACAGGAAACCCGATAATAAGGCAGCTCAGGCAAAGCTGATTGCTCCTTTGTGTGGGGGGCAGCAGTCGTTGCAAATGCAGGCTTGAGCTCCGAAAAATATTCATCTGCTAATTACGTGGTCAAAAAATAGCCTGGTTTGAAGAAAACTCTGCCCATATGGGGTACGGTGACACAAATAATGCTGATATGAGCCTCTGCAGGCATGCCTCCAAGCACGAGAGATGTAAGAAAAAAACGGGTTCAACTTTACTCTGCGTGCAAAGCATGACGTAGCTTGGCTGGAATGAAGCCGCTTATCAGGCAGGCTCACGGCATTCGTCTCAGCTGCACACGGGACGAAAACTGGCGTCCCTTTGCAGTGTTGGCAATGCAATGCTTTGTTCGTCTTAAAGTAGGAGCAAACGCGCATACAGGAGCTCACAGAAGAGAACACTCGTTGGGACTCAAGTTATATACCCTTGGAAACTACTTTATTAGCATTGGTAGTGAGCACCAAAGAAGGAAGACGATACTGGAACGCACACTGGAAAACAGATACTGACCAAACATGATGGGAGAAGACCTTGTGTGTAGGTAGCAAGTTTCCTCGAACAAAACGTCCGCTTGGTTTGGAAGCTTCTCCACAGGCATTTTTTCAACTCCCAACTCTCTCAAGCCGGGATATATGTTCAGCTCGGGTACACATGTTGTAAGGAACGCTTCGTCCAAAGCTGAGATTGTCGATGGACGACGCTCGAGATCGTCTCCAATTCTCGCAGACCTCACCCTGCGTGAATGGGACAACCAATCCTTCTCGCTTGGGTATTTCATCTATCATCAAGTAGATTAGGCCAAGCATTGGGGTGACGTAGTTTTCAAAGGTGTCCCTTGGTGATAGCAGGAAAAAGAATTTCGCTACTAATTGGTAGTTTCTGATTGCTATAAACCTCCTTTGCGCACAGTCAGATGCTGGGAAGCTACGGCGAATGACGGTACAGGCGAATTCATTTTGCAACTCGGCCGTCTTTTATATGAACTAAGATGCGCGAATACCGGCTGCACTTGAGATTTCTGGGGAGGGTGGTTCGTCAAACGATTGCTCTGGCCACTGAGGCACTCACGGCATTTCTAGTCTGTATAATCCTGTTTCCGCAGCAGGACCTTGTGGTAAAGTGGGAGCATCTTCATTTATGTGATGACGCCAACTGTTGGCTTAATGCACAAGTGCCACTCCCAACAGGTTTGGTTCTGCAAGTTGCAGCACTGCCCAAAGTGGAGCTGCTTGAGGTTCTTTTTGCCGGCAACCACAGCCTAGCGAGCGATTATGGAGTTTCCTACGAGCCGTACGGCATGTATATGGATTCGGGAGAACCCTATTCGGAGCCACTATTAATTGATGCGACAGACTCTGGCTCTATTCACATAGTTTACCATCATTGCCCCTACACCGACGCGGCATTGCGTGGCTGGAGGTTTGACGGCAACTCATTTGTCACTGCCAATCCTGATGAGACCCCTCTTCTGCTCAAAAGACGGCAAAAAATGTGTGTTGCTAGGAGAGTGGAGCTTCGCAGTGATGGTGAACCAGAAGGATCAGAATTAACTCTGACGGCAGGTGATCGTCAGGAGCCGAGATTTTTTGGATACAGAATAGACGAGCAAGGCTACATAGCCTACTTTGTTGCTTTTACTCGTATGCTACCTTCTGCATGCGTTTATCTTAAGTGCTGCGTTGCCAACTCCAATCTTCCATGCGAAATTGTCTTTTATGATGTACGAGCTCCTGATATCTTGTCACGCTTCGAGCAAGTTGTTGGTTCCCCTTCTGTAACCCTCAGTCAAGAATGTCCTCTATGCCTACACAACGGCGGAGAAGATGGAGTTCCTCTTGAATATTTCACTTCAATTGAAGAGAACCAACTCTCGCAGGACTGTCCAAACCTTACTCCTCACACATATGGAGATTCATTTGTGTTTCTTGGACCGGGAAAGGATGGAAGTCGCGTACACAAGCACTTTGCCATCGGTTCTCTCAGCAACACGTTGCAAATAAGGGAGTTCGGTAGAATGACTCAGGTTTCTGTGCAGTATCCCAACAATCTGTGGCTTTCGCGGTCTGGTGCCTTCCACGAGAACTTTTACCCACCAGAGGCAGTGAGAAGCTATTACATCGTGCGGGGTGCCGAGTATACGGTTGCAGACGACAGCAGGAAGAAACTTCAACAGGTACTGTTTTACTATGACTCACTGTCAAACGCTCAGGAAAATAAGGGGGCATCCTTCATTTCAAGTCTCAAAAATCCTGAGGTGGCAACTACCAAAATTCCAGACGCCATTTTTGCTGAGCATCCAACAGCCAACGATATGACATATTTCTACAGCAATCCTTTAGACAGCCCTATACGATTTGTTGCAGGGGGTGGATTTCAGTTGCCAGCAGGAAAGTTTGTTACCCCCGCAGCAATTAAAGGTTTTTGCGTTGCACCAGTGTTCTATGACCAGTGGGCCGTGATCATTGCTCTCGAGGAGCCAGTAGCAGTTTCAAAAAGGCAACGACAGCACGCATCGTTTCATTCACGCAGTTCCGATTCTTCTTGGGAAACTACTCCCCTCCCATGGTGGGATGGAACACCGTTCCCGCAGTTTTCTTCCTCCCGGCCGGGGCAGCTGCTGTACATGCAAATACCCATATCGGGCACCCGTTCATACAATGAAATGACACTGCGGGTTTTCAATGCGGATGCTTACCGCTCATTTCACTGTTCTGCTGCGGGTAGTACATCCGTCTTGCTTCTTCACCATGATACAGTAAACCACATCCTGCATATTGAAGAGCGTTTCAGGGATGGGTCTCTGAGGGAGGAGTCGCAAGTAGAGATCCGCCGAGTTTTGCATGGTTCTCTGCTCCCTACCCGGACGGTGACATCTTTACAAAAGGGTCCAGACTCCGTTCTCTGGATAAATTTGTTGACTACAAGGAGACTTTCAGCTGATGAGAGCTTTTATTACGCTCCTGCAGATCTTCCGGGAAGAATTGCCTCTGTACAAAGGGCAACAGGCTTCTATGCTGAAGGAGACTGCCTGGGAGAGTCCGTACAAGGCCTCCCACAATACTGTAGTTCGGATTCACGCATCATTCAAAAAATTCTAAATGCTAATCAGAGCTGTGCTAGAAAATAGAGCAATTTGTCTCCGGTGCTTTTGTGGTTCAGGTGGTCTCCCCCGTTCTCTTCAGTCACTTGCTCGGAGTTTTGTGTCTCGCTGCATGCATATCGAGTGAAAGTTGCAGCTCGTGGGGGCGCTGCATGTGCATTCCAAGCTGGCACCGAACTGGCAAGGCATTGCCTCGAAAGTCCTTGTAGCCGTGTCGAGATTGCGAGTATAGCAGTTAACAAACAATCGTTTGAGACTGTGCACGAGTCGGCATTTGCAGCTGTTAGAGTTGCTCAGGAGTTCCAGCCGAAAGTGCCCGTGAACCCTGACCCTTCTGAATTTGTTGAATATAAACACAGTGAAGTGTTGGTAAGGTCTACGGAAGACCTAGATGTCGGTGAAAATCCAGCAGAGCTGGAATTATGGCAGGACACGTTGCTTGACACCTCCACCCAAGTCCCGGTGGGGGCAGCGGGGGATGCATCTGCCACAATCGAGATGAAGAGTGCAGTAGATGTTTGGCATCTGAGAATTGCATTTGCCTCTGCAGCCGGACAATCCGGCTCAGAAGCAGCTCAAGTGGGTTCGTTCGATTTTTCAATATCTGTTGTGGATGACAGCGGAGAAAATATCCATACATGGGAGACGAGCGTGCCTCCCTCCCCCGCAGCACAAAGTGTGTGGGAGCTGATGGACGTGCGATTGTACCGCGCTAAGACAATTACAATTAAGTCGGCAGTGCCTTTCAGGATTGGAGAGGTCCAGGTGTTCGGCATGCCTTTGGACACCTGCCCTACAGGAGGCTTTTTGGGTCCTCCCACGTGTACCATCCCATTTGTGCAGCGACTTAAATCTCATGACAGCCTCGATTGCCAAGGAGCGTGGAGCGAGTGGACAGCCTGCCAAGCTGACTGCCGACGAAAAAGGCACGTGCGGAGGCTGTTTTCATGCTTAATAAAGCATGGTTTTCTGCGTACTAGACTAACTCGGCTCGTTTCAGTGGATGCTAACTTGCTCAATGTGTGCCATCTGAGACTCATAAATATCTACGTAGCAAATTTCCGTATATCGAAACTCCCACGGGGTAATCGACTAGCCCATGCTCTTGGAATTGCTGCAGGTTTATGCAAGTACTTCAAGCGGAAAAGGAAGGGGGGGTTCCCTGCCAATTCTTCCAGCATGAGCCTTGCGAGGGTATGGCAGATCCGTCGGAGGAAATCTTCAATACATTAATTACAAATACACTAATCTACAGTCTAGTCGGAGAAGCAGTTGGAGCTTTGTACCACAAGCGGCAGCAACAGTAATTTGGGCTCACACACTTTTTGCTTTTGCTGGTTCACCGTACATGCAGACGGGTACCCTAATGCTGTGGTTGCCGCAGTAACGAACTCGGTGTGCGAGATCAGTAGAAATGCTTACTAAGGTCTTGATGCTGTATCATCTGGAACTTCGTACGTTAACTGCAGAACAACTATGTAACTCGGTTTTCGGCATAAGCCTTTTGAGAGATGAAGATTGCTATCCATCTCCTTCCCGCTGGTCGGAGTGCATTGGATGCCGGCAGATGCGTGTAGTGCATATACTCCGCGCAGCCTCTGCAGGAGGTACAGCATGTCCACCCAGCATTTTTGAAACGCGTAGTTGCGTGAGCAGTGAGGGTTGTCAGGTGAGCGTTGTTAGCTTTCCCGTGCCGCCGGATCAGCCATCGTCAGGAGAAGAGGATTCAACAGAAGAAAACACCTTAATGAGACCGATCGGCGGAATATTCTTAGTGGCGGCAGTGGGGTGCGTCCTTCTGCTGCTAGCGGGCCTTGAAAGTTGGAGGCGGTGGGGCACTTCCACGTCAGCGTATCGAGAAGTACTCAATATACAGAGGCAAAGGGATCTAATTTCAGCACGCCAGCAAATGATGGAATACAAAAAAATGATCCAGGAATACAAGGACCAGCTCGAAGAGGAAGATTGGGGGAGCGAGACTGGAGCGCTAGTTGATAGCGGAGGGCAAGGCGGATCTTTCTTCCTGCAGAATGACGTTGCCGCCCCAGCTGCAGGACGTGAAGAGCCTCGGGATGCGAGCAGCATCCACAGCAGCGAAGCTTCTGAACCGCTTAAAACACAATCTGGATCCGGTATACAAAGTAGTGAATCAGGTAGTGAGGCGAAGGAGGAAGGCGCATCAATGGAGGGATGCGAACCCTCCTAGGGCGCCCTTGGGCCTCTTTGCCAGAATTGCTGTAATGTTTCCTTCATATTCGCGCCTTGCATCTCCAAACCAACTCCACACACAGAAGGTTTCCAATGTAGGCACATGCCAGCAACCGGATAACAGTCGAAGGGGGTGACGCCACTGGTGTAAAAGTTCAATTTCAGGAATTATCAGGAAAACGGCTGTATGACTTACATCTTTCTTAGAGTTGAATCGATAAATATAATGTTCGTTAAACGCCGATTCGAAAACTAAAGGACTCCCACTGCCAGAAGGCGCCTTTCCGGGTACTATCGGCTCCTTGATAGATCCGCTAGCATTTAAAGACGTAACAAGGCGCTCATGTGCGTTGTTGTGAGCTACAGTTAACAACTGAAATTACCTGTGTTGCTGTGAGCTAGCGTAGACTCACTCATTCGGCATTCAGCTCTGTGCCGCCAATAAGATTCAGCGTTCTGCTTTTACACTTCAACCGTCTTAAGGCTACCTAGGCTACTCAAAACAAGCATATGGGGTGGTTTTGCGAAGCATTCATTACTATGGTCACCCCGTCTTCGGTGTCAACGCCCATTTGCGTACTTGCTACAGGCCCCCTTAAGGAATTATACCCGAGGTTTAGCCATCCCAGCCGTCCACGTCAGCAAAGTTTTGACATGTGCCTTCCCTAAGGTTGCCATGGGGAGGCCCCACAGGAGAGGGCGACGGCAGGCAATCCCGCCACACCTAGTTGCAGCTGAGCAGCGAAAACCTAAGAGGATGCTGTTGAAAACCAAAGCAACGTAACCAGAAACGCATATTAAGTGATGCACAACCACAGACAGTACTATAGAGCGGACCTCCAAGGATGGTGCGTGGCAGGGGGAGTGCTGTGAAAGGGACGGATAACGACAGATAATACTAACATTTATAGTCCACCAGTAAGCATTGGTAGTGTACCAATTCGCACAATGGGTGTGGCTGTGTAGTTCGGCCGGTAGAGTCTCAATGCAAGCCACTATGAGAGAGTAGCAGTGGCACATAAATTTCAGTGCAGCACTTAAATAGCTGGGAATAACACCTGGGGCCCCACTTGGGCGGTGGTAGGCCATGGTAGAGATAAACCCTACACGGAGTACTGGAGCATCGAATGAAAGCTTGGAAAGGCCATACTTTGGGGGGCTGACGTGGATACGCGCTGGAAACGTTTTGGAGCACAAGGTCCCACGAAGGCAAAGTCGCCATTGGTTTGGCCATCTCCGATGTCTCAAAGCCGATGCGACTGAGCTGTGCTGCTGGCAGTCATCATGAAAAGAGTTATTTCCGTGTTAGTTTGAATTCAAGAGGAGCTGTAAGTAGAAGGAATTTTTCAGGGGGGGTTCTGGTGCTTCTATAGCACCCAGCGCAAGATATTTGTGGGTATCTTAGAGTACACGGTACGCAATAATCAACAAGTGCAAAGTATCCCGTCTGCTAGCTCTGGGGTCCTCGTCGTGGTCACATTACAGCTGTTTCTGGAGTGCTGTGGGACTTGCCGTGAGTTTCCAAACTCTGGCCAGCGCAAGCGGGCGACCTCAGGAAAATCTCTCTGCATGTGAGTACGTCAGGTGCCCTGTGAGAAGATTTGCAAGCCTCAAGACGTTCGCAGGGCCAGTGCCAATAATTTTTACCTACATTAGGACCACTCTATGGCGGCCCCCACATGCTCTACTGGCTCAACTGGAGTGGTGTTTCCCTCGTGCCGCGAAGCCACCGACGGCTGGGCGAAACGTTGTACAAGAGAAAGGAATCCTTCAATTTATTAGGCTGAAAGTGACTTCTTTCTATGGACAATTCAAGAACTTCGCAACTGATACCGACAGCTCAAGTGTGGTGGACGTTACACTGCAGCAAGTAGGATGCAGTGCACTCTTCCCGAGCATACCGATACCTTCACAATTGTCCCAGACAATCTATATATAGGTATGCAGGCACAGCAAGCTGCAGACGCGGTTTTATATTGAGGCACTCCACCCCATTGTACGAAAGCAAGCATTCTAGAAAACTACCCAAATCTTTGTCACAGCCCATCCTCTCATTTCCCTTGCACAGTAACTAGGATCATCCCTCTGGTAGGAAGACGAGCAAATTTTGGGATTCGCGTCGAGTTGAAAGCTACAAAAGCATTTTTTATTGGATGGGATGCAAAAGCTGCATGGTTGTAGCCAGACAAATTCATGAAAAATGCCTACACATTTGCCGGCCTGGCAGATGCAAAGCCTGCCGAGAGAACCTGCTTGCCATCAAAGGTACACAATTCGAGATTGTGGAGTTGCGAACGCGGCGAGGGCGTTAGTAAAGCAAGATTTTGCGAAGCACCAACAAACTAAGCAATCAAAGAAACGCCGAGAAAACCCAGTCAATACGGTGGAGAGTGGTGAGGCAAAAAGAGGTTGCAGTCGCACCTTCAGATCCGCTTCGACTCAACTCTGTGCTTTCCTAGGCTCATGTTAGTGGACAGGAATTGAGAGCGCTTCATGACACAGATGCAAAATGGATCGTCTGCCTGAATACACTGCGCGGAAATACTATCTTCCAGTTCTTTCATTGGCGCAGGCGACCATGCCAATAATAGATTTCATAGAAAACCTAAAATCATCATGTATGATTGACATTTAACCGCTAATTATGAATCTTCCAAGAATTGTTTACCATTCTCAGGTCCGGTCTGATTTATAAATCTTCCAGTTAGATAAATTAGATCACATGTCTTCTAGTGCTTTGAGATTTGACTCAATTTTTAAAAAGTTAGTATCAATACGCGATTCGTTGATGGCAGAGAGGACCTGTGAATTGGCAAAATTATGGGTATAAAGTGCGTTATTAATCGAGGCGTTTGTCATATCACGAAGCACTTGTCATATCATGATAACCCATCTTTTCTGCAATGGGTTGATTCCCTACCATATAATCCTAGATATGCAATGGATGATCCACTGGAGGTTGCACTTTTACCCTCTTGCTAACACTACTGAGGTGTACGTAACAAAAGGAACTGCGCCTCTCAACGCTCCAAAGCGATTTTCCATCCTCTACTGCTACAGGAGTGCAGGCCCAAGCTCTGTTCCAAGGTAGCGGTGACCCCGACATCGGCAAGGAGATTAAACGCTAAGAAAGGACAAATTTCAACCGTCGACTAGTGACTCGGGACACAATCGGGTGTTAGCGAACGAAGAAGGCATGCATCCGTTTCAACCCTCTCAAAAGACTACGGTGGTACATAAGTTTGTAGTACTCCGGATCGAAAAGTTTTTTGACTGCCTGCAGGGATCAACAGCATATCTATCATTTGATTACGGTGATACGTTCTAGCATATCCCCGTGCATCCAGAAGACAGGCACAAGCCCGCTTTTCTTATCCACCTTCGCAAGTTGGAGTGAACTTTCATGGTACTGGGATTCGTCAATGCACTTGTCAAACTGTAGCAGCAGGCAGCCCACAATACCAGGCGGTTGTGCCCAGCCGGAACTCGTAGTAAGGCATGTAACACCTAAGATATGCTCTGCAAGGGCTACCCGAGAGCAAATGGTCCATGAAAGCACAAAGTCTTTTTTATGCACAGTACTGACCAATTAGGGTCTACTATCACCTTATCAGGATCGAGCGAGATCTGGGGGCGAGAGAGGCCGCTATGCGTGGTCACAACCCTTGTACACTCTCACTGCCGTTCCCCTGCCTTGAATCCTACTAATGCAATAGCATCCCTTGATTCCGGTTCACCGATACCCCTTAAACGTATATACTCAAAATGTAGAAAACAAGTTACTCGTGCAAATAGTGAAGATACAACTACAAGAAGCCTCATCATACAAGTGGCAGCGTCTCCAGTAGGCGCATTTCCAGACTTCCATAAATCTTTCTTCCAACTTGCCTAGGCAAGTACAACAGCAGTTGGGGTTATTCTCTCGCAGGAATCCAACAATTCTAAAAGCAGCAAACCCTTGCCTGGTGTTTATACTGTTTCATGGAGACAAGCAGAAGTATCCGGTAAACC